GCTTCCCCTCATTCTAAACTGTTCCAGGAGGATCGTGACGTCAGAGTCCTCGCTTGGTCGCGCTCTTTTCCAAAAATACAGCCATAAAAATATCTATGCATGAGTGAGATATTGGAGTTTGTAGCGTCCCGTTCAACGCTTCTGCGGCCATATTTCGCAAAATCCAAATTTCGGTTGAATACCCCTTTAAAGGCCTGAGGCTAGTACTGGTACAGAACTGGCTAAATTTCTTATCTATGGCGAAGACACCGGACCCCCATTGCTTTGACTATCTTTACAATTTTTAAACAAACACACTGATCCGTTACATCTTGCACAAGCCTACAATTTGTGTGATGCGCTTTGGGACGTGTACCTGTGGGTGCCGTGCTCCAGTTGACGGAATGTTTGGTTGGTCATGGCAGAGGACGGTGTGCCGAGGTTCTGCGGGATGTCCAGGGGAATTAGGTTGGCGCTCCTCTGAGTCGACGACGCCCACGTCCGTCGCGTGTCGCCGCTGGAAATGGCCGGATGCGTCTCTGCAGGTGGCTGCTGTGAGGTCTTTCTGCTCTCAATCGAAGGCTGAAAGCTGCCCAAGGTAATAATGGAAGGTGATCATATGTTCTTAGGGTAGTCTTCCCAGCGTTCGACGACAAAAGAGGGCTTCGAAAATGAGCTCCGATGGTGGAAGCTACGGTTGAGTTGTCTGGCTGCTAAGTTGAGTTCCCCTCTGTCTAACTGCGTTATGATGTCATTGTTCCACACCTTTAAAAACTAAGGCAATTAAAAAGGCGCTAAAGCCAGGTGTGTGGAGGAATACAATTCGTTTAAACAACAAAAACACGCACAACAACGGCAATCGTAAAAGTAGAGGGGGTGAAAAATGACGAAGCCACGCTCCTGCATGCATCCCTTGTCAACCTGCCTCTCGGTTTAGCTGCGCCGTCCTCACTGCGGTGAATACTTGCGGCATTATTTTAAGGCGATGGTAGTTTCCCAGGAAGCAGTATGCCTTGAAATTGACCTTCCTTAAGTAAGTTATATACACTGCGACAGATCTCAAACTCTTTTTTAAGACATGGTCCCCCCGCCTCCCCCCAATTTATTTATATAAAACAGCACGGGACTCCTCCACCCACAGAAAGCCTCATCGGTTTTTGAGAGTATAGCCGTAAAACTTGCACTTGAATTACCGGAACCGCCTATATGCTGACCGACGCTTACCTTGACCGACCGGGGGCGGTCATGTAAATTCCTGACGCTAGCGATAAGAGCAATAACATGCTTATGAATTATCATCTATGCAGGCAGAGAAAAAATTAAAATATATGTTTTGGATAAATATTCGTACACTACCCCGAGGAAATTGTTTTCTTTATACTATTCTGGGTAATTGTTTTGCCCGATTATGTCTTTTCACATCTACAAGTCAATTGTGTGATCTTATAGTACGTTTTTTTTCATTGTTGCCGAATATCGTTTCACCGTATCTACGAATTACAACGCCCTTCATTAATGTTTTAATTTGAACTGAAAACCTCTGGAGAATCGCCATATGTTACCAAGATATTCACATATGGGGCACCACTAAAACTGGAAACGTTTGCCAACGTAACATATCTCGGGTAAAAACCCGCATCCCGTGACCACAACAAGTCGGTGGCGCCATCAACATTTCTTCGCTGTTTGGTTGTTGCACATATTCTTTCATGGTATATGTTTTGAATATAATTTATATATTGTGAATTCCATTTGTAATGAATTCTTAAGTTCTAAGAGATTTCACTTATTTATTTAATTAGTTAATAATAATGTAAAAACTCTCACGTGAGTATAAGTGAGTTGAGCTTCAATATTCTAGGCGCTGCCGCGGAAAGATATCGAGAAAGAGGCATGTACTAGGTGCGATAGCAAGCGTTAAACACTGTGTTCAGCCCTCATAAATAAATTGCGCATCGCAGTACTGTGAAACCCTTTGTGGATGTGGGGATAGTGGTTGTGATGGAGTGCGAGCGTTTGAGATGACGTTGTCTGGATCTAATAATAAAATATAAATATAAAATTTCTCTCGGAGGTTCCATACCCTTATACCTAATATTCGTCTAACGATGGGACTAAATAATGGGCCCCCATGTCAAAATTCTAGCAGGAAACATTTTAACTGAAACAAAAATAAATAACCTTTCATGCTGCTAAGAGGTATATACTCATATAAATGCCACAAACGCCCTCAATGTCATTTCTCGTCCTTTTTTCGAATAATAATATGACTAGGCTCACGTCGACTCATCAATACTGTTTGTTTTACAGCGAAGCTGTATATAGCTCATAGATCGGATTTCTGAAATTGTGTCGTGTCGTCGTCCTCGCGGAAAGAAACCCTTCCACGATTGAAACGAAAAGTGCATATCACGCACACACCACAAAACACAGCTGTCGTTTCAATAAAGAAAAAGGAGAAAACAAGCATCCGACCCAGATAATTGATGATAAGGCGCTCCTGATAACAATGCGAATCACGCAGTACACACCCCTTACGTTTCTAGGTAAAGATGACTAGACTGGGCGTCGATTAAAACTTTTAGCCCGGTTAATCGCCACGCTTTAATCGATTATTTAATAGATTAAACGGTTTCGTTGATTTTTATAATATATTAAAATAATGCAAACACTTGTCTTGCCTTTGAAGACTTATTTTACTTTCTTGTACACGGCGCAAAGGACGTTTACAATTGATGATACATATAGTTCAACCTAGAGCTACTAAATAAGCTTCGCTTAGAGTATCTGCCAACATTACTAGAACACTCAGTTGGGAAACTCACCGTCGAAACCTGGGCCGCTGGCGTCCAGTGAGACCGAGCTAAATACGACAACAGCGCCACTCTTTATCATTTGTCTGTACTGTGGTCACCTTGAGCTTTTAGAAAGCATGTTTTTGCGTAAAAACAAACGGAAAAGACTCTTTTTGTATAAAATGTTTTGGAGTTTAGTACAAAATGAAGGGCGCGTGATGTTTTTATAATCTTTAGTTTGCAAGGTTTTGCGGAACAATTACTATTGTTTTTATACAACCATGCCTCAGCGGTCCTTTCAGGTAGCGCGTCCCGACCTAGGTGCATTTTAACTTCGGTATTAATTGGCGGTGCGTCTGCTCGGGAAGTGGGGGTGGCGCCCCGGTAACCTCTTCTGCTGTATCTGTTTCGGCGCCAAAATGACCGATTAAAGCCAAAATAGAAGTAAAGTGCAGCTCCTCGAGTGGCCGCTACGGGAGAAATGGCGGCCTTGTGTTCGCCATTAGCTCGGTTTTTGCGGACAAATTGGGGCCACTTTTTAGAGCATCTCTATGGCAGTTTTCCAACTGGGTGGTTTTAGTAACGTTGGTATCTGCACTTCCGTTCCCCGACATTGTTGTGGGCGCCGCCATTTTGGCTCGTGTGCAGAGCAGACGCAACTGCCGATCGTCATGATTCATCGGAGGGTCACGCAATATTGCTTTGCTCTGTCGCGAACTGGTTAACCATTTGTGGAGGGCGGAAAAGCGTTTCCTCTGCTTTCAGATAAAGCTTCAGATAACTCGCAACCATGATTTTAAGACAATATGGCCAAGTTTCAGTAATCTGAAGCGTAGCTTATTTAGTGGCACTAGTTCAACCATTCAAAGACTCGCATATTTTTGCTCAAGCTGCGAACTTCTAGTTTGGGCAGGTCGTCCAGGATAGAGCAGTGCGTGCGTCCAATCGACATCTTTTTGGGTAACAATTAAAAAACCGATTAACCGGTTAAAAAATTTATCGCGATAGAAGCCCTAATCGATCAATCGGAAGGTTAATTAATCAATTGTCCAGCTCTAAAGATCACTGTTACGTAAGCTGCTGTGGCGTCGGCAGCTTGCGACGTGGGTTGTGGCTCCACTAGCCTTTCACGTTATCAAATCATTTTGAGTTTTTAATGTCCTTCCCCTGCCATCGGCTGTACAGTTCAATATCTTCGAGGATTCAAGTTGGTTTACAAGAATATTCGAACATTTATAAAAGATGTCGCGATTCTTCCTTCTCTTGGCGTTGACCTAGAGAAATGGTAACGTTTCATCGACATTTCAAGCAGCAGTGTTGGGGTGAGCTTTGTTCATTTTTTTTTTATGTACCAGAAGTTCTCTCAGATGTCAGAACTGGAGTTCCGCCTGGTGGCCTTTGCCATAAAAAGGGCCTGTATAAAGAGTTTTGGTGCAGTGCATTCACTTTTCTTTCGTAAATCATTTGGTATACACCTTTCCCATAAGGGCGCTGCCATCTTGAATCTCGTAACTTCTGGTATCTGGTAGAAGATCGCGTTGATCTCTCCAAGCCGCTCGAAGGTGTTTACGAAAAATTTGTGATTGTGACACATTCTTTTTTTTGACTCACCTATATTTTCTCGCATACTCCAGATTAAAATGTTTAATTATTTTTCGGCCCACGTAGCAGATACGGAACCCACTTGACTGTGAACGACAGGAAACAGAAAACGCCTATGGTGCATGCAATGAGTAATACCTGCAGGTGATACCACAGCTTCGCTAGCCAACCACCTGCTCAGCGTGTATTCACGCCCCGAAATTTTTTTGTTTTGTTTTATCTTTTCGTGCACGTAATGAAATGTTCTAGAACCTGTTGAATTATATTACCACCAGGAGTTAACAAATTGCTGCGATGGGCAATTTATTCGCTTGATGATATGCGCGATTAAGTTGATGCATTGTGAAATTATTTAATGGGTGTGGCAAAAGCTAGGTTTTATTTTCTCGTTGGAGTCCTGTGTATAATGTAAGAAAGGTGAAGACGGCTGCCATCAGCGCGCACGATCACCACGTGCCGAGCCTGTGAAGGAAGCCCGGATCTCATCAAATTACCTTTGTGTTTTTTTGTTTTTTTTCTTCTACTTAACCACCGACTGCACCATCTTAACAGTATTGAAAAGTGCTTCTCGAAAACACGGCCTCGTGTATAATGATGCGTTCCCAAAATGCCCCGGCGTCACGATTAAAACACAGGGAGACTCAGATTTATTGCTCGTGCATTATACTACATAAATCGCATTTAGAAGAGAACGTTAAACAGCACACACATTTCGCAATTGATACATACCAAATACAGCAATTTGCAAAATATACTTCATGCTTGCTAGTATGGAAACAGTACATCACGCATATATACTTTAAAAATGCACACATTGGTTTCTTGGAACTGTTCAAAGCAGCTGCGGTATTGGTATACGAGTGCAGCGCACCATTTAAAAACAAATGCAACCGTCACATTATGACGAAAATGAAGTGCAGTACATTTAAGGATAGTTCACAGATTTACGCGTGTCTTTGACCTGGTGCGATGTGCTGCCTTGTGATCTCGTATGACGAGACAACCGAACACCGCCACCGATCGAGTAATGCTGTCACTATCATTATTTCCGAATATTTCCATATTTTCTTGGGGAATGTCACGATATTATGACAAACAAGTATTTTATCGAAGACTAAGATAAATATAGTTGGGTGTCAGGGTCATGGTCACATATCATTAGGCATAATACAACTTAGGGTTTCACGTTTTCCCCGATTTCCAATAAATATTTCTGGCGTGATAAAATAAATAAACATTTCTTTTTAACTTTTGGAATAAAGTGCAACCTTACAATATATTCTATTGCAAATACGCGCATATAATGAAGCCTATTGCATAAAAAGTATCACGATACAGTATCACTCGAGAATTCCAAGCCTTAACGTTCTCTTTGCTTACCCATCTGACGGATGACGAGGTTCCAAACGAGACGGAGCAGACTGAAGTGGTTTTGTAAACTGCTTGCTAAGGACTCCCTTGAAGCGTTCCACGAAGGATGGCCTTTTGTATGAAGGTGGACCAGCTGAGCTCAATGGCACCTGTGAACTTGTTACACCTGGTTCCACTGTTCTGTGATAGTTTGGAATAGGATATAACAATGGTCGAACATTTATTTTTAACCTCAGTGTCAAAACAGGTTTCTAGCACAAAAGGTCGAACAAAATGTTATTGCGGAATAACATAAGAAATATAATACACGTTTCGACAATATTCTTGGCCAATATACTACGTGATTGTACTTCATCGAAACGAGGAATTCAGGGTCTAGCAATAAGGGGTATATTTTAGATACCGTGAGGAGACACAGTTTCATTCTAAAAATGTTAAGTTTTGTTAATTTTTTTGTTGTTGCTGTTGGTATTAAAAGAGTGCAGCGCAATATATTGTTGCAATACAAGGAGTTGCTTATTGCACTAGAGGCTTAGCTGGAGGTGAACATTTTATTTCCCATCACTTCTCAAAAGGATGTACACAAGTCAGTATTAAGCGATTTAAATTAAGCAATGCGTACCAAATGTGCGAGTCTTTACGGCGACACCCTATACATCCGCAGCTTTCGCTGACATACATTTTTAGGTAGAGACAAGAAGAAGAGTAAAACTTATCAACGTATCTTTGGAACGTATTCCCTCATACCTAGAACCCATTTTGCGGTAAAAAAACGTCTAAGATTTTTTTTTTTATTCTGAATTTAAGTGAATTTAGTGAGAGCACGCACAAGCCCGATGATAGGAGTACAAAAGGAGAGGTTTTTAGCAAGTACAGTGGAGGCCTTCCTTGAGGCCGATCACAAACGTTTTCAGGGAGACGATTTACTGCGATGCATTGCTCGGTTTGTTGTTCGGAAGAAGGCTTAAAGTTCATAAAGCAAACAGCATGCTACACATTTTTATGTTCGCATCCTGCAATGAAAAAAGAAATATTTTTACTCACGGCTTTGTTGGTCTATCTTCCGGTGCTGCGTCCCGTAGGCCAGATGGCAAAGCTCGTGTCGCAGTGCTAAAGAAAGGGAACTTCAAGCCTATCTTCCGTGGCGGTGCTGACGAAGTGGTCAGGGCATGATCGTCCAATGGCGGAGCTGAAGATGCGGGTTTGCGTTGAAAAAAGTTAAAGAAGGCCGACCTTGGCTGTGGCGAAGGGCCCAAAAGAGCAGTCTCGAGCACTGGGGGTTCTTCTTTCACCGCCCTGTTATTCAGATCCTCGATCTCATCTACCTGTTCTAATTTGTCATAGTCCTGTGCTATGTCACTCTTGAATTCGTCTTTGTCCTTTGTGGTGCCCTCTTCATTTTCACTCTCGTTCTTGAAACTTCTTTGTTTAGCAGATGACAGATGTCCAGTTTCCGTTTCGTCCTTGTCCTTGTCTGAAGAACTTCCCTCGGCGCCGCTCTTGTCCGCATCAGTGGCCCTTATGCTGCTGCGGTCAGCTGACATGGTCTTAACGCCATCGATGACCTTCATGCTGCTGCGGTTAGCCGACTTGGTTTCGTCGCCCCCACTGGTTTCTATGCTGCTACGGTCAGCTGACTTTGTCTTCTTGCCATCACTATCCTTTATCCTGCTGCGGTCAGAAGACTTGGTCTTGTCGCCATCACTAGTCTTCACGCTGCTGGCGTCGGCTGATTTTGACTGGTCCTTTGATTTACCGGGGCTGCCATCCTGAACGATTGATCCTTTCCTGGAAATTGAGTTTGCCTGACCGTTCCCTTGTGCGTCCGTAGAAGCGTGAGAGGTACTTCCTGACTCCTGTGTAGAATTTCTTCTGTTGCCCTCCTCTTTAGAAGACTTGGCTGTCTCATGCAATTCGCTCTCCCCAGTCTTTTCGACAGGTGTACTTTTAGTTGATTGTCCGCTTTTCGCTTTCAAACCGCTGCCCGACTTTGTTTCTACTGGCTGACTGTCAATTTCAATGCTGTTTAAGAAAAGAAAAAAAACAGTACGTAAAAATAAGCACTGTGTCGTGCTTTCATTAAGAATTACAACTAACGAATGCAAGGCACACGCAAAACAATGCATCCTTATTAACTCGACTAACTACGCAAGAGAAAACTGTGTATGAGTGAGAAATGTTGAATAAAAATTCACTGTATCTTAATTTTTAAACCCGGTTCCACGTGCGCAACAAGATGTTCCACAACATTACGCGCTTCTTCGGTGGATAATGTTTTAAGGAGTGCTCAGTTTCCTGATGAATACATGATCTCTGTAGTAAACGTAAGATCGCCGAGTCCTACAAAACACCAGCAGAATAAAAGTACTGTTTTTACGCCTAGTAACTGAATCTGAATCTAATACAGAACCTCAACCTGCTTCATTTGCAATGTGCGATGTAGATGCACTAGGGCTTAACAGCATGAACTCAATATTAGGATTTGCGCTGTGGTAGGAAATAAAGAAAGACCGAAATTTTTGCGAACGAAGTGTAGCACAAGAATATGCATCCACGTTTTTATAGCCGAGTATTCTCATTTATATTACCGTTTTAGACAGTATAACCTGTATGGTAAATGCAACATAGGTTTTAAAGGGGTTGTGAACGGATATCGGGTTGGAATGTTTATGACTTCGCAGAGATATACTGGTACCGGTCTGGCCCAGGCACACTCACTCAGCCCGCCATTGGTTCAGAAGCATCTTTGTCGCCGTAAACTTGCGTGGATAAAATCGGATTATTTCTTTCAGTTTTGACTTCGCGAAGTTTGATGATATAATTATAGAATCGAAACCACTCGCCTGACGACAGTCAAGCTTGGCTCATAGATTGAACACGACACCTGCGTGAGTACTTGACTGGGGCTCGTAGGAATCAATGCCTCGGCAAACACTCGGGTAGTTGCACGTGTCCACCAATTTCAGTGAGGGGAATAGCCAAACTCTAGCAATGCCTGGAGCACAGCACCCGTTTTCTACTTTGCAAACCGTATCGGGTGGCTATGATTAAGGTTGGCAGCATATTTTCTCGAAAAACAGGCGAAGAGGCAGGAGAAAACAAAATGAACTAAAGATGTAATGGGGCCAAACTTATACCATAAAAAAAGAGAAAAACATACGTCGATAAAGCAGCAGCGAGCGTTGACGGCAGTAGCAGCAGGCGACGGTACGTCGGCGTAACAGCTGGCTATCGCGAGGGGTCAGCAAATGAATCAGCAGTACGGCGCCCCGCTCTTTATCTACAACTCTTGTTGTCTCGAATATTCAAGCTAGAATGTTCTGGAAAGATTTTTGCCGAGCCTGACTAGGCAAGGTCATTCTGCCGTCCTTATTGTTTACTCTCGGCGTACAAGTGTACGGGAATCTTCTAGATAAACGGAGAAGCGTATCTTCTCGATCCCGCACGCGGCAATATAATAGGCACCAAGACACGTGGCCGCTTGTTCCGAATCCGAGTTGAGTGGATGTACGCTGCTCATATTTCTCTAATTGTTTGGGCGACTATCATTTCCTAAAGAAAAATTGAAAGCCGTTTACAACTCCCTTTAGCACCAAATTAGAGCACAGCTCTTGAGGAGAAGGAGGAGGGAAGGGTACTGGGGGAGGGGTCACGTGATCTTGGGGAGAGGGGTAACGTGACCTCGGGAGGGGAGGGGGGTCACGTGACCTCGGGGGCGGTCCCGTGACCTCGGGGGGGGGGGGGTTACGTGACCTCGGGGCGTCACGTGACCTCGGGGGGGGGGGTCACGTGACCTCGGGGCGTCACGTGACCTAGAGGGGTCACGTGACCTCGGGGGGGGGGGGGTGACACGTGACGTCGGGGGCATCGCCGGGTTGCATGCAACCTGGCGACTCCGGTGGCTGGCGTAAAACTTGGCTTAAATGCAAACTGGGTTTCATGCAACGCGCGGTCACGCTGACGTCGACGGGTTGCACGCAACGCAGATTGCATGCAACCTGAGTGGCATGCAACGCGAGGTTACGCCAACGGCGACGCCGCTCAAGCCGGAAACGGGCGCCTAAGAGCTGGGCTATAAAAAAAAAGAAGACAAATTTATTCAGTTATTAACATGAAGGGGTGTTTCTAAGTAGTAGTTAACGAAAGTAAACGAATCTTCTCATAACACCTTTAAGCAGGAAACACATAAGAGCAAAATTCGCGTCGCAAGGCTCTACCCAAATACCCTGGAAGCCAATACTGGCAACTCCCGCGGAAAACGGGCGAAAAGTGATTGCAGCGCCCCTGGCGAGCTCGGAGTCTCCGCTGGCAGACAAATTCTCCGAAATGCAATGGTTTTGCCTATCTCCGTGCGAGGTGACCAACGAAAAAAAATTGTCACGGACATTCGCTGCTTTGAAAGTTAAAAAATGGGTGCCAGCTCATGAGTGAAAGACATTCTCTTCGCGTGGGAAAGATGTTACAGCTTTCTGGGTGCAATTTCGCAGTTCTCCCGAAGAAAACATTCTGTCACAACTTATGTAAGCCAAGCAAAACACGAATGTATGCCTTCGCGCTGTTTCGTGAAAAAGGGAAATGTACAAACATTTCAGAACATAGCTTCGTTTCAACTTTATTGTTCTTATCAGTCAATTCGTTTTGTCGTTGCAATTCCCATTTCTAATGAGTGTCTTGCTTATAACCGTTTCGTCGAACAGGCGAGCTGGCTAATCCCGTTAAGATCGTCTCCGGATGAAGAAGCAGAAGTCAATTTCGAACCACGTACGTTACGGCGATGTCAGCATGCTCCGAAAGAAGGCATTGTGCATATGCAAATCTGACGCGATTATAGATTAACAAAAGCGGAGTTACGAAAAAAGCAGACTTCTCGCGCTTGCAAAGAAAGAAGGAAAGAGCGTCGTAGCCCCGCGAAAAAAGATGATTTCAGTCACGTTATTTTCAGTGCACAAATTCCGATTGTTAGCGCGGGGACGACCAACATCTTCTGCTTCGCTGCTTCTTTAGTTCTACGATAAAGGCCGACACCCGTTGAACCGTCTCCACTCTTTCCATTTTTGAGTCTTCTTTCTTTTATATTTTTGAGGCGACGCCACCCTGCCGCGTTATTTCTTCCTCCTGCTTATATGTTGCTGTGTATATTTTTTGTTTGCTTTTTGCTTTTTTTTTTTTTTGCCCGACGTGTAAACACTCGCGTATCCTTGCTTTGTTTGGCTTAGTTTTTACACCCTTTCCTTTGCTTCGGCGCTTGCTACCCCCGTTCGTCTGCGCTAGGCCCGGGCATTTTGAGGGCCATCTGCAACTTTGCTGTTGTTGTTGTTGTTTTCTTCCACTGTCGTCTGCGATAACGAGTCTGCGATAACGAATTTTGAGGGCCGTCTGCAACCTTCGATTGAGTTTCTAATCCAAAATCGTCATACGTGCTTTTTGATATTTATTAAATATATTAAGAAGTGTAGGCTCGTTACCCATTTTTATTCGCATTTTATTTGTGTACTCCGGCCGGCACGTCTGCTACGGGTCATCGTTTGTTGATCAACCGGCCGCATTCAAGAACAAGTTTGTGCAATGTGGTGCCTACCATTGCAAGAACAAGTTTGTGCGATGTGGTGGAAAATCTTTCTTCTGCTTCCTACGTCAACCTACGGACACCTACGTCTACAAGTACTTGAATGCACTTTTAAACTGCTTCGTCAAGCGAGCGAACGAACAACCGGCCAAAGTCACTGGAAAAAGAAATTCGAAGGCAAAAAAAGGTTACTCGCAGGCAGATTGCTGCCTGCGACCAAAACATTTCTGCGACTCTTTTACCGGGCAGTGTGAGCTGCACTACGTTATTTATTTCCCCTGTTTTGTTTTTAGTTCGTACCTACGGCGCGAAAGCAAATAAAGAAATGTACAACAAGCAGCTGAAAAAAAGGGACGCTTTCTTCTTTTTTCATTAGTTTCGTCTGTTGCTTCCGCTTTGTCTGTCGTGAACTCAACACCGGTGGCGACCACCAGCTATTCATTTGCTGCTTTCCATTTTTCTTTCTTTTTTTGTATAAGCGCCGCAACGATCGTCGTCGTTGAAATAGTTTTTTGCTAGCTTCTGTTTTATTCGCCGTTGTTCGCTTCTCTTTCCCCTTTCTTCTCATTTTCGTCGGGAATGGCGACACCATTTTTTCTGCAAAGTTCGGTAGGTGTTTGCACGTTCATTTTTATCCTTACTTTTTGTTTTGCTTTTATGCTCCAGCAGCTCGTGCGCTTGCTCTGGTAATATTAACGTGTCGTTTTTGCATGTTTTAACGATTACGACGTAGTTCGAGTAGCTAAACGCCTTTTTTCCGCTTACCAGAAGCGTTTCAAACGCGTGTGATCCCCTGAGAGGCGTTTGAGACCGCTAAATAAACTGCTCTATCTTTGTTTATGCGCGCGTTGTTATTCAATTGTCGTTGCAGTTGCGATCAGTGGATTCCGCTTTGCAAGCGAACTGACCGTAATAAATTGTTTCTGCTGTTAGGGTGACGATACGGGGCTTGTAAAGCTCGAGGACGTCGCGGAGCCTATACTTTTCCATTGCGACGACTGCTTCTGTAGACTCCGAGTCCGCTAGAGGCGCCACTGTCACGTTCGCCGCCGCTCCTATGTGTTTTCGGAGGAGTTTCCAGTATTGGCGAAGCTATATCGTATTTGCTCTACCTCTCGTCGTAACTATGAAAACCCCCAATGAGAACCACACTCGTCATGGTCACGCGGCTCAGCGGCGCGAAGCGGCGTAATTTTTTGTCACATGTGTTTCACGCTTTAAAGAGGATTCGAAACGAAATGAGGCTACCGCGAGCCCTCTACCTCTCGCTTGAAAGTC